CGGTGACTCACCAGCCTTTGAGCGGCTCCTTTTTTCAGTAGTCGTGACCCCTTACTACTATGTGGGTCCACAGGAACCCTGTCAGTGGTCTTACTGGCTTGAGGCCACCAAGGACCTCTTCTCCCCTGCCACCTCCAAGCAACTTCACACAAAGGGTACAGCAGCAGCTTTTGCCAGCTCCTGCTCCATGCACTCAGCAGGGTCAATCTTGAAGCAGCCAGGGCTCAAAATAGTGGGAGCAGTCCTTTCTTTCTCTCATTGTGGCTTCTCCTGCCTTCATGAACTCTGTAGGTCTCCCCTCCTCTTCCCCTGAGCTCTAGTGGCCCCAGCTTGGCTGTCGTTGCTTTTTATAGTTGTAAATTGGTTGATTGTGGGAGAGAGTGATGCTGGGGACCATCTATTCCACCATCTTGACTCTCTGCTAATAAATTTGCTTTTTAAGTCACCCAGTCTATGTATTCTGTTACGGCATCTCTAGCAAACTAACACAGACCAGTGGCTGTCCTAAAAAACAACTCAATATTAACTGTCCTCAAGCCAAAATCATTGCTCTTGGTAGATAATATCCCCAATTACACCTTTTTACAGGCTATCTCATCAAGTTACATAGGGTTAGTTCTGTACCTCAAGTACACATCAAACAGTAGAAATGGGGTAAATATTTTCTGAGTGAATGACTGGATTACTCTGGGCTTGCTGGGATGCTGTCCTGCTCAGAGTAGAATATTCCATAGGTATCTGCCAGGGTTTGCTCATAAAACTGGAAGATGCTGAACCTTGCAAGGTGTTTGGAGTTGGCTTTTCCACACACACATGCATGTTCTCAGGGCGAGCCCCACCGCTCTGGTGCCACGACGGGGTCGAGGAGTGAAAGGTGCTGTGCATGTGAGTGTGCATGTAAGCGTCATCCGGGAGGCAGTTGGAATGACAATGACAGGTGTAGACTGGAGAAGATCTGGAACTTCAGCCATCCAGGGAGGGGGCCCAGGTGGGTGGGGCTTGAGACCTCTCAGAGGTGGATGCCACCTGCTTCCAGAGCCATGCTGAGCCGGGTGGCAGATAAAGCTGGCGTGTGGTCACTTTCATTACTTTTAGTCACTGTGCTATACTCCTCCTGCTGTGAAAACACATGGCTGGGGATGGGGGTATAACCTAGAAAAGGAGATTCTGATATGTACAGGGTAGCACTGGGGGTCCTGCATGATAGGACACAACTGGCAAAATCTACCTTAATTATTTTCTGAGCACTGTCCTGTATTTCTTGCAGTAGAGCAATGGGTCCTAAACCTGGTGGCACGTTGGCACTGCCCCCCAGTCCCCTTCCCAGACTATGGAATTAGAATCTCTAGGTTTGGGGTCTGGAAAATTTGTATCTTAAAGTGTTTCCTCCATATTCCAGATGCAGCCAGCCCAGTGCATCTGGCAGATGCTAGGAACCAACATACAACAGTGGCTCTCGAAGTGCAGCCCCAAGAATTTTGAGGGTCCCCAGGCCCTTTTAGGGTCTCAGCTTTTGTTTCAAATACAGGACATGTTTATAGATATAACCACGTAAACAAAAGCCCTCAATTTGGCTTCCCTCAATTTGGGGGAATGTAAAGGGGTGTTGAAACCAACAAGCTTGGGAACCGATGTACGGACAACTTTCTCGGTTTTATGCCAGTGCTTGCTAAATATTTGAGCAGATTGCTGTGGATTGAATGTCCCTCACTGAAGTTTAATCCCCACTGTTACTGTTGAGGGTGGGAAGTCCTATTCCGATAATTGAAAGGTGGGACCTTGAAGAGGTGATTAGATGATGAAGACCTTCCATGGTGAATGCATTAACCCATTGGATGGTTTAATGGTGGTCGTGGGTGTGGTTCTGACAGCTTTAAAAGGAGAGCACCTGAGAAGCTCTTGCTCTTTGATTTCTGCCATGTTCCACATCTGCCATATGAAGCCCTGCACCTCAGTGGAGAGTAGCCCAAGAACAAGGCCCTCACCAGATGTGCTGTTCGGGCTGTGGACTTCCCAGCCTCCAAAACTGTAAGCAATAAATACGGTTTCTTTATAAATTACCCAGTTTCAGACATTTCTGTTATAAGCAACAGAAATGGACTGAAACAGAAAATTGGTACCAGAGACAGGGGGGTGTTGACAGCAAATACCTGGAAATGTGGAAGCGGCTTTGAAACTGGGTATTGGGCAAAGGCTGGAAGAATTTGGAGAAGCAGCCTAGAAAAAGCCTAGATGCCAGTGAGAGCTGAAAAGAGAAGAATACCAGGGAAAGTCTGGGACTTCTTAAAGACTGTTAAATGGTGGTAAGCAGAATGCTGGTAGAGTTATGGACACTAACGGCCATTCTGAGGAGATCTCAGATGTAAAAGAGAAGAAGCTTATTAGAAACTAGGGCAAAGATCACCCTGGATATGAACTGGCGAGGAACTTGGCTGCATTCTGTTCATGCCCAAAAGTTTTATGCAATATGGAACTTAGGAGTTTTGAACTAGAATATTTGGCACAAGGAATTTCTAAGCAGCAAAGCATTCAGATGACTGCATAGCCACTTGCAACAACCTATGCCGAGTTATGGCAGAAAAAGCATGAGGTAAAGGCAGAATCTATAATTAAAAGGGAAGCTGAGGGTAAAAAGCTGGGAAATTCTCAGCCTGGCTGCATAAGAGTTAAAAGGTGTCCTTGGGAGAGGAAACCAGTGCTGTTGCCCAGTGACTGTTTGCTAAAGGAGATTAGTACAGAAGGAAGGGATTATCAGGAGAATGGAAGAAAGACCTTGAAGGCATTTCAGAGATCTTCAAGACTGCCTCTCCCAGCACAGGCCAAGAGGACTTGGGAGGCTGAATGGTTTCAGGGAACAGGCTGAGGTGCCCTCCACGGACTTGCTGCCCAGGGCCACCTCAGGAAGCTGCTATGTGCACCAGCATCTTGACTGCTCTGGTTACTCCAGCTGTGGCTAAATTGGCCACAGGTGTGGCTGAACCCACAGCTTCAGAAGTTACAAACTGGAAATCTTGGTGACATCCACATGGTGTTAAGTCTGCAGGCTCCCAGATACACATAACACAAAGTAATTTTCTCTAAAAAAAAAAAAGTTTGTCTCCTGTAATGCATTAGCGTTTCTTATTATTCGATATTGAGATTATGTAACTCATTATTTTTAACTTTGCCTCTGCTATCATTCAAGACATAAGTAATAAATAAATGTGAGATAACAAGGTAAAACACAATAGATGCTTTATTTTTTAATTCCTCAGAGAAGTAAAAGCGTAGCCCCCACCGAAGTTGTGCATTAAATGGTTACAGAGAAACACTTCAGAATACTGTAGCTAGGGTGAGTTTTGATTTTACATGTCTGAGTGCCAGAGAATGATGTTGTTTGAGTAGTGCAGACTTTTTTGAGGTAGGAAAAATTACAGTTGCTCCTGAGCTGGGTGACATACAGGCAGTGTCCTAAATGCTTTTCACATTGCCTCATTGTAATCCTTACCAGGGTCACCTATGTATTCTTATCTCCATTGTACGGAAGAGGAAAAAGAAACGCACATAACGAGAAACAGGTGATAAATGATAATCTGTATGGAAACTGCAGCCTCCAGGCTCCAAAGCCCACTTCTAAGCACAGTGTGGCACCTTCTCCCAGAAAATCATGGGGAGATGCTCCGTCGCTAAGCTGTGCACATAACGAGAAACAGGTGATAAATGATAATCTGTATGGAAACTGCAGCCTCCAGGCTCCAAAGCCCACCTCTAAGCACAGTGTGGCACCTTCTCCCAGAAAATCATGGGGAGATGCTCCGTCGCTAAGCTGGGCCATTGGTCCACCATCTCAGGCCGTGGGAGCAGCAGCCCCATCCCCAGTCAGAATCTGTACAGAAGTAATGCTGGTCTCATCTACGCCAGCCCAGGCTTTCCACAGGTTACATTACGTTAATGCAAAAGTACTCTTATCGCTTCGTAGACAGACTGTTATTTTAAGGCTTTGTTTGAATAATACACTAGAGTTGGCTGAAATTACCATGCTAAAAATCAAAGGCTCAAAATCGGGATCTCAGAGTAAGTTTAATATACTCCTATCACACAGTTCGCCCACCCTAAACTGAATTGTGCAACTTCTGGAAAAGCCACAAAACTAAAGGTCTGACATCTCATCATCTACTTTTCCTAGAAATGAAGCAGATCAAGATGAAAACCTATCTTAAAGTGCCAGGTATTCTTTAAATATATTTAGGTCATATATGGTTGATCTTTGGAATTGACATGCACTTCCCCTTACGTAGTGGTGTACAGTTTTCTCTCTGTCCCACACACAAGGCTCACCTGGGGGGGAGGAGGTGTTCCCCACTCCTTGCTACAGGACAGTAGTTATGGAAGAATTTGACAATAATATCATTGTATATGTGTGTGTGTGCCTTGTATATACATATGTATATATAGAGAAAAAGAGACAAAGAATGGTTCCCAACCTTCTTACTTCCAAGGATGACTTTTATTACTTTTTTTCTCCATGGACCCAAAGGTTTAAAGATAAGCCACATTTAAGTGATATTCCCCCTTTTCTAGTAACCCAATAGTCCTGGGCACTATGCAAACTGGCCCTTTAATTTCTGATTGGTATGACCTAACAGTTTGAAATTATTTTAGGCAAAAGAAAAATGTTTTAGTGAGCATTTATAGGAAGAGTTTTTCATCTAGAATCCAGGAGCTTCCTAAAATATATGCAAATTTTATGTGGTACATATACGTTAAGAGTATATTTGGAATATAGCTCTCCTGATGATTTGTGATCCCATAAAAAGTTGTGTCATTGCCAAATAGCCTCATATTTGATCACTAGAATTCTTAATTCTGGTAATTTCTAGAAGCAATTAAAACCAATAAACTTTTGCAAACCACTGGAAATCTTTGAACACCACTATGGAGAAATCATCTCATGCGAACTTCAAATACCTCCGTGATCTCTTCCTGACCAATTTTCAATATCCTCCTCAAAAAGAAACACAGTCATTGAACTTCTCTTTTATTTAAGCATTAAGAAATTGTAGCACAGTGACAGAAAACTTTCTCAAAATGTCAGTCACAGCAATGAACAGACATCATGTATCACATGTAGAACCTTTTTGTTTTTTCTGGAGCATCATTAGCCAGGGCAACATAAATGTCCCACTCGTTTGCTTTTAAAGTGAAGACTGAGGCACACCAACTCTACTTAATAAATGCAGAGTAGAAAAACGTGCTGAATTTTGTATTGGGGCCAGTTATGAGAGAGAGGGGGGCGGGGAGCCTGTAGAAAGAGGGAGGGGGAGGAAAGCGACAGACAGGGATGTACAAGCAGACCTGCAGACGCAGAGACAGACAGATGCTTCAGGAAGTCAGTCTCTTTAGGATGCCACCAGCAACATCTTCAACATGTTGCTGTTTTAAAACAAAAGCAGAAATCTGGGCATCTTGATTACTCGTATCTGCACTAAGTGCAAGATGAGGCCAAGTTGTGCCACTCCGCTCCCCACCTTAAACTCGGAGTCAATTTATGTGCTCCTGACCTGCCGTCTCAGCTCCAGGACAAGTCCTCCCACACAGGACCGAGTGCTGCAGTGGTCATCCAGGGCAGGGTGGGGATGGGACCAAGAGCGTTTACAGAGACGTAGGTCTCCAATTCACCTTGGCAAGCATTGCTAACTCTGCCTATCTGGTATTAAAATATTCACTTTAAGTAAAAGCAAATTTATTTCTCTGCATTCAAATAGGGGTTAGAAAAGAGACGTTATTCAACAGGTGGGATTTTTGTTTTTGCAACTCATCTGGTGGCTGATCTAGGTCCCACGGAATTAAATGCTTCCCCTCTAACTAAATTTGTGCCTAGAACTTGAGAGAGATACCAGAACAAAGAGCTCCACAGGAAGAATACAAAATTGATTTTTTAAAATGTAAGGCTTCAATTTAAAATATAATTAAGACTTGACACATTAAAGTCAAACAAGACAAACATCAGTTATTGACTTTTACAAAATAAGTCAAAAACTGAGGTAATATAGTACTCTTCTATAACCTACTTTATCTGATTATAATATTCTATTTCCGTCTCATCCTTAGAGTTATATACACTTAGATGCATGGAAAAAAGGTCTAGAAATCAGCCTCCGGTTAGTGGGAAAAGGGTATAGCTACTAAAAGGCAGAGGAGTTTTACTTTTACTCATATAATTAATAAAATCTTTAAAATCACTGCATACAGCTGTACAAAGCCACCAGGTCACTGATTTCCACACAGTGATGGAAAATACTAAAAACATATACACACCTACCCTCACCCAAGGACTGCCCACTTTCTCCTCAAATAAGTTGCTCCTGTGGCACAGAACATAGAACATTCTGTCCTGCCTCCGGGTGTTACCGCTTTCTGCATTTACCTCTCATTTGATCATGCTTTCTTTCTCTAGCACAAAACGTCTTTTGTGAGCACTTCCAATAAAAGACAATGGTTTTTAAAAGCCAGCCCTTGAGCCTGCTCCCGCCTTAATCCAGCCCTTGAAAACAATTTCCCCCTCTGTGTTTTTAAGGAGAGACTTGTGAGTGAGTGTGCACATATGTGTGCGCCCACGTGACTGTGACTATGGGTATGACTGTGGGTGTGCATGTGACTACCTTAATCCAGCCCTTGAAAACAATTTCCCCCTCTGTGTTTTTAAGGAGAGACTTGTGAGTGAGTGCGCACATATGTGTGCGCCCACGTGACTGTGACTATGGGTATGACTGTGGGTGTGCATGTGACTGTATAAGTGATTACGTGGCCATGTGCGTATGTACGACTGTGTGTGTGACTAGAGGAGTCACATGTGTGAGTACGCATGAGTGCATGTGGCTGTGTGTGAGCATGTGCGTGCCTGTGAGTGCACTTGGGCGTGTGTGAGGGCACACTCGGCAGGCAGAGCACAAAACTGGTGAGTCACCTGTTGTGTGACAACAGGACATTTTCATTGAAAGGCTCATTTACCAGGGTCCACTAGTACTTGGTGATTATTACCCATCCACAAGGAGACTGGAAATTAGATTAACGTTGAGTTTGCAAGCTTTCCAATACCCCCAAATTTTTCTTACTTGGGAGGAAACAAAATCATACATGAAGTACCACTTCCCAGTTCTGAAACAGACGGCCACCCTTGTGGCCACCCACCCTCGTGGCCACGGCCAGCTGCTCAGTGCAGGGCACCCGCACCCGCGGCGACACCCACAGTCAGAGGTGTGGATGCGGCCCTGGGGCAGGGCCCCCTCAGGCAGAGAGTCTCTAGGACCTGAACAAACTTGAGGGGGGGGGGGCTGAGAGGCATTTTCACAGCTACTCACTCCCCCACAAGCCGCAAGGCCACCTGTGCACGCTAAGAGAAGGCCTGAGGGATGCAGAGGTGACTTCTGGGCTAGAGCCCATCGGTGTGGGACACGGAAGGGGCCAGGCTGCGGCCGCGTGGGCAGGAGGGGTGAGGCGCTCTGTGTCCCCCGCGGGCCTGCTTGCCTTACAGGTGCCCAAGGGGTGGGCAACGTTAGGTAGGGGCTGTGGGTCTCCCACGCGCACACCCAGGCGGAGCAGCACGTCCAGGAGGTAGGGGCGGGCGGCAGGCGGGGTCCTGGCCCCCAGGCCCGGCCGGCTCACAGCGTGCTCAGGTGCGGCAGCGCGTCCAGGGCCCGCGCTCGG